GAGCCGCGCACTCGTGCGCGGCGGGTTATACAATTAACTATACAACGTATAACTGTATAACAAGAAAAGTCAGGATGAGATGTGCCGAGCTAGAGTGCGAATTGAACTCACGACTTCCCGATGAACGCTCGGATGCTTTACCATTTATTTATCTCGCCACAGGCACAAATCAATCCCAACAATTCACTACTTGTACTACAGATAAGATTACTTAACGGGTGATATAACTCGTAAAATATCTGTTCCATATATTGGACCGTCGACGAGTCCAACTCGGCGCGCGTCCTGGTAGGTTGTAAACCTACAACAGATTACATGCCTTATATTATTATTATCAACAGCTGTGTTACACAACGTACACAAGTGTGTAACACACAATTATGACCTTCCGACCAAATGTTTGTTGCATAATATACAACCAATACCATTAGTTTAAATGGAGAACTGGGGTGGGATTCTAGTTCTACCCACAGCGCAAGGGTTCAAAATTTAGATATATAAATATAATTCGTTTGGTCGGGTCAACGGTCTAAATCATGCAACCCCAGGAAACCTTACTGGCTAGCGATATTACTACAGGGTGATCGCCTTTTCAAAGCTTGTTGAGCTCCGCGCGCGCTCGTAAGTTCATTGCATTTGCACGCTTCAAACATTCCAAAGATGCAATTGTACTGCGTACCACGTGATACGATTCAGCCAATCAGAGAACAACAATCTGCAAAGTTATAGCTGCGCAGTTTTATAAGGCCTAAAATATGACTTTTCGCGATAATTAAAAATCTACGTTGTTTTTAAGTTTCCCCTGGGGGGAAACGTTATTTTTACAAGGCGAACATTTTGTTGAAAACCATACGTTTCTATCTCTTTTACTTCCAAAGTTAGGCCCCTACCAGTAAGGTTTCCTGGGTATGACTAGGAGATATCGCGGATCGGGAAATTGAGCGGTCGCCTTCACCTAACCATGTGCTTTCGCGCCACTTTGGGCGCGCTTGTTTCACCGCCGTGAGGTGGGCGCGCGCTACTGCAAGCGCAAGGGCTCTGGATAGAGCAACGGTCGCCCATACAAAAGAAATGCAGCCGCATTTCTTGTTTAAAAATTGGCAGGTGATAAGTGGTTTAATTGATCATCAATCATGTTGTAGCGCGATGCGTTACTGTGCCGCGCCGCGCACTTAATAAGGCTTCTCACAGCGACATCGGCGCGATGCACTACTGGGTCGCGCGCGCACCAAATAATGCTTCTCGCAACCACGGTAGATCGGCGAAATGCACCACTGTGCCTCACCGAGCTGCCATGAATTGACATCGTCAATTAAAGTAATCCTAGTAATCACTTTACTGTTTACACTCGACTATCACGTGACGAAAACGTCGTAATTTCATTGGTTTAACTTGATTCACGATGTCAATCCTTCGCAGCTCGGTGAGGCACAGTGGTGCATTTCGCCGATCTACCGTGGTTGCGAGAAGCATTATTTGGTGCGCGCGCGACCCAGTAGTGCATCGCGCTACATAACAATGGTTTAACTAGTAGAGGCTCTTACGGGCAAAAAGACGTTTTTTCTGCTACGAGTTTAGAGACCTAACCGCTAATTGGACACAATAGTATGATGTCTAAGGATCGATAATACGTTAAGAAGTATAAATTTGGCCTTATTAGTCACGTGCTATACCAATGCGCGTTTTAAACTTTGACAGTCTATTACTCTAAGGCAAATAGAGTAATTATATTCATATTTTGTCAGCAATAAGATCACATTATTTTCTATTTAGTGTGAAAATATGAGCTAGAACGGACATAATCTCGCTGAGTTATAGCTGTTTGAAATTTATGATGAACGCGCGGGTGCCAATTGATAACAACTAAATGCTTTTGCGCGTAGTGCGCGTCGAAAATTTGGCTAAAACGCTTGCGGAGTGACAATATTCAAACTTCGATAAAGTATATGAAGTGGGTACTTCTCGGAAAGGAAAAATTTAGGCAAACACGATGTGACTATTTTTGGGTTGATTTAATACAACTGCAAAAAATTATTCAAACTTCAAGCAAAAAAGTCAAAATTTTTACCACTTTTTTGGATTTTTACCTCAGAACAAATAGAGGGATTTGTTTTATTTTTATACAATCTTGTGCGGCTGTCTTTTAGCTATCTTTATGCAAGTTTTGCCGACAATCGACATGCCAACAAAATTAACTTGCTCAAAATATCAAAAAACATGGTTTTTTGGCCTATTTTTGGCCCAAAAATCGGTTTTTTGCGATTTTACCCCAGAACAATCAGTCCAATCATCTTGAAACCACTTTCAATCGATTCTACGGTCAAAAATACGTCTAGTAAGGTGTATCTGGGGTCCCTAACGTATCGAGCAGACAATGCCCGTAAGAGCCTCTACTAAACTGATTAGATAACGCGCTGCAGATCTCTATAAATGATAAACACAAATTATTCATCGCGCGTGCAGTAAACTCAAATTAAGTTTTAATTTGTTACCGAAATTTGGCAACTATCAAACATTGCATGGCACTAATTAATTCGCATATTCATGATTCAATTGACGATGTCAATTCATCGCAGCTCGGCGCGGCACAGTGGTTGCGAGAAGCATTATTTGATGCGCGCGCGACCCAGTAGTGCATCGCGCTACAAGTGCTTTATCTATAATGCGAAACTAAAAGAGATGAAAATTATAGGAGAATCGCGACTGTAGAGTGATTTAGCGCGACCGTGGAGTTCCCAGAAGTAGAACACTTTAAGTTTACTGGCTAGGGCCTAACTTCAAAAGTAAAAGAGATGGCGAATTCCGGTTTTTACATTTTAGCAAAATTATCGCCTTGTATAAAAATAACGTTTCCCCCAAGCACCCAGGGGGAAACTTTAAAACAACGTAGATTTTGAGTTATCCCGAAAAGTATGATTTTGGGCCGAATAAAAGGTCGCAGCTTTATAACTTTGAAAATTAATGTGGTTGCCATGACTCTATGGATGAATTCAGATTGTAACACGCGTGCAGAGCAGCGAGCTTTACGTCACGCGCGATCGAGACGACAAACAGGCTATTGAAAAATTATCACCTCTAGTACTAGTAGTAGTGTACTACTAGTACTAGTAGTAGTAACACCACCAGCCAGTAAGGTTTGCTGGGTTTTACGGCAGCTTGTGCCATAGAATAACATTGGTTATGAACTACGTCACGTGACGTACGCGTGCAACCGATTATAAGGCCAGAATCATCATCCCAATTTACTATTTCCCCCAACAATCGGTATGAGTATGAGGCAGGACAGGTGGAGCCTCCCCTAACGATGTGCACTGCTGCTGTTCAATGGAGAATTGTTTTATAAAAAATATATTATTATTGTCAGACGTTGCCTCATGCCTGACCAGACACACTTGGCAGTCCCCTTGTAGGAGAAGCTGCAACATGAGTCAGTGTGCACTGTGAAGTTTGAAAATTGCGACACAGCGATCTTTCTAAGACCTAGGTGAAACAATTTCATCACCTTTTTGACCTCAAAGAGTTGAAATTTGCTTCTTTAAAAAATAATACAGACAATCTAAGCAAAACTATTGTAGAATCAGTATTTACAAATTTACATATTAACATTTTATTTTTATTCATTAATGTTAGAAATATGTATTACTATTAATCTATAAATTTAATATTAAAACTATAATTTATGAAAAATTGCTGCAAGAGATCACTGAGACGGTAGTAGTTAGCAAGTTCACTTGACTAGGGTAAGGCACATAATTTTGTCAGGGTACCTAATTTTGTCATTTTGCTCTGAAAAACTGCCTCGGCTCGGAATTTCAGCTTGAAAGAAAAGGATTGTGTATATAAAGAAAGCTTAGACTTTGCTGAAACTGCTCGTACAAAGTTTAAGTTTCTAGCTCTTTTGCATCTGTGTCAAAAATGAAGGCGAAACTGTTAACCCGAAAAATAAATAAGATCCTTAAGTGTTAAGGTTTTCTTAAGGAATTTTCAAAATTTTGATTTATTGCTATTTCAAAAGTAATTGAGCTAGCTTCATGCCATTGCATATTTCAAATATCTTCTACAGCAGAAGTATACGTACAAATTTTCAAGTCTCTAGCGCAATTATTGTTTAAGTTACAGAGGGTGACAAAATTAGGTTCGATTTTGCCAAAAGTACCTAATTTTGTCAAAAAAATCGACCTTTCTCAAATTTCTTGTAAATCACAGATTGTGTTGAAAATGGCCTTATACAACTATTCTGAAGTTTTTTTGCCCATAGGATATGTATAAGGCACTTATAACACTTATAATAGCATATTTTCGCCGAGAAATATTAGGTGGATAATCTGATTTTTTCAATCTAAAATGACTAACAAAATACAGACATGAAAATTTCAACCTAGGCCTAGAACCAATCGTTTTTCAAGATGCCAGTGGTTTCAGGGGCATTTGGGGCTATTTTCTAAGATTAGATACCCAAAAAGTGTCATCTTTTCATCAAGCTACAAAACTATGAAAACATCATATCTTTGGGATTTTTGAGGTCAATGTTGGTAAAAAAGCGCTCGAATGATGCATCCAGGTAGTCTAAAATACCGAGAAACGGTTACTTTTTGCACAATCTTCAAGTGACAAAATTAGGTTCGGGGTGACAAAATTAAGTAAAGTCACCTAATTTTGTCATTTTTTCAAAATAATTTTTTTGAACATCTTCAACCCCAGCAATTTCGATCATTTTTGTGTTAGAACTTGCCTAGACTGTCTACTATAACATGGTGGAGGTTTCATCTAAATCGGAATTTCAGACGAGGTTAAAACCCATGGTTTACATCAGGCAGTCGGAAAATTGCCAAAAAATGACAAAATTATGTGCTTTACCCTAGTACTTTTGCAGTAACTAGTATCAACAGGATGTACACAAGTGGATAACTGTATAACATCGCATATATTTGTATAATAAACAGGCTGCAAATGTGATCACAACCATAATCATACATAAACTAAATATTAAACTAATAATCTGAACTAAAAACCTAAACTAAAAATCTGAATGAAAATAAATTATATAATCAACAACTAAAGGTTTAGAATGAAACGTATATATTTTAATTTTTAAAGGTTAAAAGAAAGCATTTGTACCTTAACATTGCACTATGCTGTAATGCATGACTCAAAATTGTTCTGAAAATTATGACTTTGCTGTGAGTAATAGATTACTTAATCGGGCTAAAAAAGAAAGTTTAATTTATTTCCAACCTACATCGTATTGATGAACGATAAGTAGTTCCCCGCTACACGGTTCCCACTCTAGCTCTATCGTGTAAATTAAACTGTCTCTGATTAGGTGCCCTGATTCTAACCCAATTCTCAAACGCATCTCTTGCTCTGATATGTTTCTCCACCTCCTTCTGCCTCTTTTCCTCTGCTTCAAGGTCCAACTCTTCTTGGATCTTCTTCACCCGCTGAGCCTTCTGCTTTGACTTAGTTATCAGCCACTCGTCGTAATTTGGTGGGGTGGACCTGTTAATGCAAACTGATAATTAATGTAAACATATAATTACTATTCGAGACCACACCACGCAAATGTTATCTCTGGAAATGAAGTACATAAACTATAAGCTTATAAGATGAGATAACAACTAGCATGATAAGACCACATACCTCCGTGTTACCAGGGGAGGCAGGGTAACACGTCTCGTGTTCTTCTTGATATTGAGGGCTGAAACCCCTGGTATCGCGTGATCGCGACCACAAACGTAGTTGGGAGACGGAGGGCGTTCCGTGTCCTCACGACCTGCCATTTCTGGGAGGATTACCAACATGTTTGCCGCACGTGCAGCCACCAGGTTCATCGTTACCGGCGGGGAGAATATCTGGGGTAACGCTGTTGTCAGAGGCATGTGAGTATTTTTGAGAATTTTTGAATCTGAGAATTTTACCATTTTCGCAAGGAATACTCAAAAATGTCTCAAAAATTTATTTTTGAATCTGAGAAATTCAGTATGGATTTCTCATTTTCTCAAAAATTGTCCACTCAAAAATCATTTTTGAATCTGAGAAATCATCAGCATGGATTTCTCATTTTCTCAAAATTTCTCAAAAATTATTTTTGAATCTGAGAAATTCAGCATGGATTTCTCATTGTCTCAAAAATTGTCCACTAAAAATAGTGATATACCAAATCAATCTTTATATCAGTGCAATGTGGTCCAAAAATACTCAAAATTAATTTTTCCCTACTCTTGCCAAAGGCAAAAATATCGTAGGGAATAAGTAAACGGGTTTGGATATATGAGGTGGCCCGACGGTCCTGCGTTGATGACAAAAGTCTGCTCCTTCGCAATATAGATCACTCCCCTATAATTTATAATTAAGTGTATAAAAGGAGTCTATTTTGCGCGCACGACGCCAGTTATGTGTTAATTAATTACAGGCATAACAACCAGTTTTTGGTGCTTGACGACTGTTACACAGGTCTCCATCTGGTTACAATTTACTCTAATTCATCAATTTAGCGTACTAGTCTTCTGAGCGGATCAATCATCAATATAAGCGTTATTTTTATGAAACAAGCTTAATGAATTACCGAGTGATAAAATTCAGCAAGTCAAAACAAATAAAATTATGATTATATCAGCTGATAAAGTCGCGGCTGATTATTTAACAGTTTGACACTAAGTGGTAAATATAGCGTTGGTCGTTGATCACGTAATCAACATTTTCTTTTTTACCCTCTAGAATAATAACAATTTGACAATATTTTAACTCAAATTCCACTCAATTTCACTCTGATAGTGATAAAATTTAGAAATTGATCGAATATCCGGCTATAATAGTAAGTAGTTTAGAAGGTGCTTGGCCGGATATCATAACAATGATTTCGGCTCATCATGATAGCATGATTAGGTGACATCGACACCAGGGTCCTAACGGCTAACCCCATGCTCGAAACTCAGTACCGAGTGTATGGCTGATCGCTGGCTGTGGGTTACAGTTTCTTTACATTAAACTTGTCAAAGCTAATACTTGATTAAAAAGTCGTTTACCAAAACAGAAGCGTTTCTTAACTTTTTCCTCACCTGTTTAACATTGCAGCCAGGCACCTCAGCTATCCAATGAGGAGGGAACTGGGACATAATATCAATAGACTGGTCCGCAGACGCACTCTGCTTCTTTCGCACGTGCTGCTCTTTGTTCAGGTGCCACTCGTAGAGCGCCAGCCCACGTGCAGATTCTCTGTGTCCAAACATGCGCGCGTAGTCCATTGCTGTAAATCCTGATTCGTCCTTACTGTAGATGTTGGCTCCCCAATTTATCAGGAGACACAGTACTGACCACTGACCTTTTATACCTGGGACATTTACTCATCAGACATATTCTATTAGAATCGAGTTTGCAGGCATTATAGCGGTTATTTTTAGCTTTTTAATACCACATTTTACGATATCGTCAAGCACCAAATTTAATCCATCCTATAGTTGGTCCGACAAAGATACTCTTGTAATTTAAGGTTGGAACTTTAGTTTCAGGCTGGAAATTAACACTTGAAATTTGAAGCATAACAATTGGGCAAATTATAGAATATAGGTACACCGTACAATGCTATTAGCCCTTTAACAGCCGGTCGGCATTGTACCTATTTGCATCACAATTGTATTTATTGCAAACAAACAGGGAAATAATGAAAGGTTGTACCCGCTGCGTGGAGAGCAGTGCGGCCTAGTTTAGTGCTGAAGTTAACGTTCACCCCATAGGACAGTATCATGAGGACCAGCCTGAGGTGACCACCGTGAGCTGCTATATACAGCGCTAGAAACGCTTCGTCCTGAACATGTACCCTTGTTACCACATTTCGGTTGTAAATATATATAAATAGGGGTTATTGATCCATAATAGTAAGTACCTTCAACCTCTGTCATATTAAATTTAAATCGAGGTGAAAGTATAAAAAAGTGTCTAAGTGATAGAATTAGATTAAGTAACAACTGTAGAAATTCCAGATGTAACCTGATTAAGAAAGCCTCTGTTGTTGATGAGACCACTTTGAAAGACTTGAGTTATGTGACCTCCTGACGCAGCATTAACGAGCGCTCCGAACGGAGCCCACACCTGAAACATAATCTTTGGTTTTTTTTCTGACGAAATTTTGACTAAACGGATATAATTGTTGATTACATCTAGGCGAACTAGCTGCTAACAGTCTTTTAAAAAAATTTGGGGGGGGGGGGGGGGGGGGGGGGGGGGGGGGGGGGGGGGGGGGGGGGGTGCCAACCATATTAAAGTATATTAAAATGTAGGATTTTTCCCGATTCTGACCCGGGGATATACTTTAATATACTTTAATATACTTTAATATATCCCTATCTCCTTGGAGGCCTACAACAAAAATTGTTGCCCAAAATAAGCTTGAAATGCAATTCTTAATCGATTCCAAAAAGTTCTTGAAAAAATATTGAAAACTGATGGAGTTATTTCAATTTTAATAAAGTCATTTTGGCTAGTATTCCGAACCGAGATATTATGTGCAATTTTCCCAATTTTGTTCATGGAGGTCTTTTTACTTAGTATCCACTATATTCAACAAACACTGAGTTATATCTTTCACATAGAGTTAGTCTCATTAAAAAATATTGAAATTTTATCGACTTTTGGCAAAAGCGAATTTGGGCAAAAGCGTATGCCCAAATATGGGGCATATTTTTTAAAGCTCATAGCTCAGCCAATTTTGGACCAGTCTGGATGGAAATTCATGTACTAGTCCTAAAACAGGCTTTATCTTGCGAATCTGAGTGAAAAATATAGTTCCATCATGTAAATCTTAACGAAGAATATAAATCTTCTAATTGTAGGTATATTAAAGTATATTAAAATGTAGGATTTTTTCCGATTCTGACCCGGGGGATATACTTTAATATACTTTAATATGGTTGGCTTCCCCCCCCCCCCCCCCCAATTTTGCTCTATATTACCAATTAAACACTGAAATTTTAGGCAGTATCGAGATAGCCCGACCACTGGTCCGCGGACCACTGTCTGCGGACCACTGTCTGCGGACCACTGTCTGCGGACCACTGTCTGCGGACCACTGTCCACACCTGTCTACCAGAATCATATTACTGTATAATAACAGTATCCCCTGAATCAAGCAACAGGTGTTTGTGAATAGTTGATTGGTTACCAGATCATATGAATGGTATGTATGGTATCTTGGATGCAATTAGTTACGACTAGCATAATTAATTGTAGCGTAGTAAATTACTGGATCAAACTATTGATTACGATTCAAATGTGGTCTCTCGGATATAATTAGTTTCAAATAATATTGATTGCTCAATGAAATAAATGATTACGATTAAAATGTGGTATATAAGTCGTTCGTTTTTGGTGAAGTATTATCAGTTGCCATCATCAACAACAACAACTATTCCAATTCCTGACATGGTACTCTTCTGTCTAATGGACGAAATTAATGGACCCACCTAGAGAATGCTCGAGACTTCCTATTCCAGAAAATAATGCATCTATGTCCCTGCTTGATTCAGGGGATGATGTGAACCCTGCTTGATTCAGGGGATACTGTTATTATACAGTAATATGATCTGGTAGACAGTGGTCCGCGGACAGTGGTCCGCAGACAGTGGTCCGCAGACAGTGGTCCGCAGACAGTGGTCCGCGGACAGTGGTCCGCGGACCAGTGGTCGGGCTATCTCGATACTGCCGAATTTTAATTTGTATTGTTATCTCTCTCTCTCTCTCTCTCTCTCTCTCTCTCTCTCTCTCTCTCTCTCTCTCTCTCTCTCTCTCTCTCTCTCTCTCTCTCTCTCTCTCTCTCTCTCTCTCTCTCTCTCTCTCTCTCTCTCTCTCTCTCTCTCTCTCTCTCTCTCTCTCTCTCTATCTATCTCTCTCTCTCTCTCTCTCTCTCTCTCTCTCTCTCTCTCTCTCTCTCTCTCCCTCTCTCCCTCTCTCCCTCTCTCTTTCTCTCTCTCTCTCTCTCTCTCTCTCTCTCTCTCTCTCTCTCTCTCTCTCTCTCTCTCTCTCTCTCTCTTTCTGGAAGCATTGGATATACTTTAATATACTTTAATATGGTTAGCCCCCCCCCCCCCCCCCCAATTTTGCTCTATATTACCAATTAAACACTGAATTGTAATTTGTATTGTTATCTCTCTCTCTCTCTCTCTCTCTCTCTCTCTCTCTCTCTCTCTCTCTCTCTCTCTCTCTCTCTCTCTCTCTCTCTCTCTCTCTCTCTCTCTCTCTCTCCCTCTCTCTCTCTCTCTCTCTCTCTCTCTCTCTCTCTCTCTCTCTCTCTCTCTCTCTCTCTCTCTCTCTCTCTCTCTTTCTCTCTCTCTCTCTTTCTGGAAGCATTGGATCGGGAGGTAAAACTAATATATATAAAGGGCCTCAGTTTAATCTTTTTAAAGGGCCTCAGTGCATTTTTAAATTTCCGGATAAACATTTTTCAGTAAAACAATACCATTAGTTTCATTGAATCTGCTGATACTAACTGTTAAGAGAGATATAGAGGAAGTTGATACAATAATCGCACGAGGCGAAGCCGAGTTCGATTATTGCAATTATTTCACGAGGCGCAGCCGAGTGTAATAACTGGTGTAATCGCATTATACATGCAGTTAGATTCGCGTATAACTCCACAATTCTGATGTTATAATCAGTGCAATTAGTTTATAATCGCACCGACTTTTTTGTTATAAAACCAGTCCGATTATAAACTAATTGCACTGTTCTGAGAGCACTGAGCAACTTAAAGAACAGCGCACTTCAACCCGAAACCTCCTCCGAGAAACGAAGTGACGTCGTCCGCCGACTCTCTCTCGGTTGAGTTGTACACAAAAATGGTTGATAACCACCTCAACAAAGGGACGAATAGCATGTTTAGACGAATAGAATTTTTAGCTTATACTATGGTATATACTTATTACAAGCTCAAATAAAGCTCATGAGGTCGTAGAAACAAAAGAAAATATGTGGCTTATGACGAGGTTTAGTTATTTAAATCTCTAATCAGAGTGAGGACTCCATATTAACATATTATTAAGATAGGTTTTATTTTTCCCACATTGCTGCTCCTTGGTGAGCTAAAGAACATACTCTTCTTGAATAGTTTTTTAGATAAAGACAATTTATAATTCCATATTTTCATAGCTCAATCTAATTTTATGGGCGGTGACGTTATATGAGGTTACTTTTCAGCTTTTAGTATCAGACTAATCTTCTTCTTGTAATGCACAGCATATTGTATAGCAGAGCCTCGTCCCTCACAATTACCAACCTATCCGAATTTGTTATCACTTCGATCTGAACTCTTACCCTGATTCAAGTTAGGGGCCATCTACTTAGGACGTCTGCCAAAATCACAGATTTTCAAAACCACCACCCCTCCCCCGGACGTCCGGATTTCCAGCTACTTTTAAGAGTACAAATAAAACCGACTCAAATTCATTGTTAATAAAATTCAAAGAGTTGAAATAAAATTCAAAGAGTTGAAATAAATGGGACTTTTTCGTTAATTCTGGCAAAATTTCCGGACGTTCGGATTTTCAGAAACCACCCCCTCCCCTCTCCGGATTTGTCCGAAATTCCAAAACCACCCCATCCCTATTTGCCGGACGTCCTAAGTAGATGACCCCTTATCTAATTCACATTGATTAACAGAAATATGACTGATCCAATACATAAAGCACCGCACACCACTGAAGTGGTGCTACAATCTTCCATCACAGACCGCTATTCTGGTAACTACACGGACTACTATTCTGGTAACTACACGGACTACTATTCTGGTAACTACACGGACTACTATTCTGGTAACTACACGGACTACTATTCTGGTAACTACACGGACTACTATTCTGGTTATTACTCCACTGATAACCCGATGAACCCGATGAACCCCGAAACTCTGGAGCCATACTTCATCACCGGGGTGCCTTGTGTAATACTGAGTATGATTACAATCACCCTCAACATCTTTGTTGTCAACTTTTACCGGAAAAACAAACTCTCCCTAGTCCCTCTCCTCTATAATATGATATCAGGGGCTGATATTCTGACTGCTGTTGGGATCATACACCAGTCCATAGCAATATCACTCTTTACAAGAGATGTAATCAGTGAGGCAACTCTGGACTATAACACAGTGGTATGCTTCACTCTTATCCAAATAAGCTACAGATCGTCCGTATTCTACAACTTAGTGCTGGCTGTTTCCAGGACAGTAATGATCCTCAGACCCTTCCACCAGATCAAGATAAAGATGGTGATACTGGGCTGTGTTCTTTATGATGTGCCGTGGATTGTCATTGCTGGACTTGATATATATCAGGTTTATATCGTGGAAAAACGGTTCACTGAGGGTTTCTATGTTTACTACGTTGTTATGGGCTCCGGTTTAGCAACTATGGTTGCAGGTAGAAGTTTCACAAAATGGTACGGCACATTGGTGACGCTCCTGGTGATTGCTTTTCTAATACCAGTCGTTATTATCATTATTACGTGCATTCTGCAGGTGATATCTCTCCACAGATCGAGTCAGTTCCCAGCTAGCTCCAATTAACGTCACGTGACCATTACAGTAATCCTCATGTCATCCCTATTTGTCATCTGTAACTCTGCTTTATACGGATATCTGTTTTCAATACTGTCAGGACTAACACTACCTGATCATGCAACCTTTACTCTTTTAATAGCAGTGTTTGGGACAGTGCTGCCGATTCTAGGTTCAGCCCTGAACCTAGAATGGGGGCGGCATCGAGATTTTTTACGTTTGCCGCGACAAATCGCGGTTTTCCTTCAAATCTGTGGGCCAAATATCACGTTTTCTATAATTAATATATGAAACCAATCACATCCACAACTTTCCGAATGTAGGTACGGACTTCGAAAACCGAGAAAAAATATTTTCGGCTCAGAATGATCAGGGTAGCATGAAACATGAACAAAAGTAGTTTCAAGAAAAATTTTGACTTAGAAAATTTGCGGTCCTAGTCATTCTCGATACGTACGCTTCCGATCTCGTATTGCGAAGGGGAGGCCTGCCTTCCGAGATCGCATTACAAAGGGGAACCCTCGAGTCCAAAATCGTATATCGAAGGGTAGTAGTATCACATTATTGCATGATCACTATCTTGAAGTTGATCTTTGGCTTCTTCTACCTCCACATTTTCTATTAGAACTGGTTGTCTGTCCAACTCGTAGTCGTACCGGGCAATGAACGATCCCAACTGCTCTACTAGAGAGATACTTGAATGCCTAAAGTACAGCTTAAGCTTTATCTCTAGCCCCCCACTTGGTATAGGCGACCTTCGGTGGCTTATGTCAGCTACGATACCTTCTACCATACCACCCATCTCGATAAAGTAGAAGACAAACCGGGATATCTCCCTAGGTATGTGACCGACGGTATCTAATTTAGTCCTGCAGGTACCTTCGTACCTTATCTGCACAGCGCAAGATAAGCTTATTGTATGAAAAACATGGATTTAAAAATCATTTGCTAAAATTAAAAAAGCGTCAAAGAATGACGAAAAAAAAATCGGATTTTTGATGGTTTTAATTGTCTTCTAGCGTTCATATTAATGTCCGTTCATAATTATGTCCGTTCAAGTAATGTCCGTCCAAATAAGGTCCAATAAGGTATATCGTCTCGGTTTATATATAGTAAGATTATAAAGCCCTATAAACTTATAAACAAAGTAAGCTTGATAGTAATCAATATTCATGTCATATATGCTCTAGTGAAATTTTTGTCTCTTTTAAAATTAGTCGCCGAAAAATTTAGTCTCATGAAATTTGGTTTACAACAATTTTAGTCAAAAGTTTGACTAAATTTATGGTAGACTAAATTTGTCGTTCTTAAGGTATACTATGATATATAATTATATTTATTATCAGCTCAAATAAACCTCATGAGGTCGCAAAAAAAAGAAAATAAGTGGCGATTAGGAGAATGGGGCTGAAGATCATTGTATGCAGCTTAAAAGACATTAGAGCATGTACGTTAAGAACATAATACATTATTATTATATATTCTGTTTACACTACCTTCCATGTTTCGTGCACTGTAGTTGATGGGGCAGCATCACTTTCACTTTAGTATTTTGTTCTCTGTTTAACATGCTCTAGCATGTACTGGCATTATTTGAACGCCAGTTCTTGTATGTGTACATTTCTATATTATTAGTATTACCTTTTGTTATTTTGTGTGCCTTTTTGGAATCTGTATTAGAAAATGTTGAGCGTTTGGGCTGGTGTGTACTATGATTACATTGCTTTGAATTTGTATATTGAATTATATTGTATTTCAGTGCTATGTAACCAGGCGGCAAAATTGAAATGGGTTATGATGGGGTCCGTACTCCGTAGTCCACGTCCCCACACATAGTATCATGTCCTTGTTTTACTGACTACTTCAATGAAGAACGTACATATACGCTAATCTAACTGCGTATAATGCGATTACACTATTAATTGCACGAGGCGCAGCCGAGTGCAAATTGATACAATAATCTCACGAGGCGAAGCCGAGTTCGATTATTGCAGTTATTTCACGAGGCGCAGCCGAGTGTAATAACTGGTGTAATCGCATTATACATGCAGTTAGATTCGCGTATAACTCCACGTTTCTGATTTTATAATCAGTGCAATTAGTTTATAATCGCACCGACTTTTTCGTTATAAAACCAGTCCGATTAAAAACTAATTGCACTGTTCTGAGAGCACTGAGCAACTTAAAGAACAGCGCACTTCAACCCGAAACCTCCTCCGAGAAACGAAGTGACATCGTCCGCCGACTCTCTCTCGGTTGAGTTGTACACAAAAATGGTTGATAACCACCTCAACAAAGGGACGAATAGCATGTTTAGACGAATAGAATTTTTAGCTTATACTATGATATATACTTATTACAAGCTCAAATAAGCTCATGAGGTCGTAGAAACAAAAGAAAATATGTGGCTTATGACGAGGTTTAGTTATTTAAATCTCTAATCAGAGTGAGGACTCCATATTATTAAGATAGGTTTTATTTTTCCCACATTGCTGCTCCTTGGTGAGCTAAAGAACATACTCTTCTTTAATAGTTTTTTAGATAAAGACAATTTATAATTCCATGTTTTCATAGCTCAATCTAATTTTATGGGCGGTGACGTTATATGAGGTTACTTTTCAGCTTTTAGTATCAGACTAATCTTCTTCTTGTAATGCACAGCATATTGTATAGCAGAGCCTCGTCCCTCACAATTACCAACCTATTCGAATTTGTTATCACTTCGATCTGAACTCTTACCCTGATTCAAGTTAGGGGCCATCTACTTATATTAGGACGTCTGCCAAAATCACAGATTTTCAAAACCACCACCCCTCCCCCGGACGTCCGGATTTCCAGCTACTTTTAAGAGTACAAATAAAACCGACTCAAATTCATTGTTAATAAAATTCAAAGAGTTGAAATAAAATTCAAAGAGTTGAAATAAATGGGACTTTTTCGTTAATTCTGGCAAAATTTCCGGACGTTCGGATTTTCAGAAACCACCCCCTCCCCTCTCCGGATTTGTCCGAAATTCCAAAACCACCCCATCCCTATTTGCCGGACGTCCTAAGTAGATGGCCCCTTATCTAATTCACATTGATTAACAGAAATATGACTGATCCAATACATTAAGCACTGCACACCACTGAAGTGGTGCTACAATCTTCCATCACAGACCGCTATTCTGGTAACTACACGGACTACTATTCTGGTAACTACACGGACTACTATTCTGGTAACTACACGGACTACTATTCTGGTTATTACTCCACTGATAACCCGATGAACCCGATGAACCCCGAAACTCTGGAGCCATACTTCATCACCGGGGTGCCTTGTGTAATACTGAGTATGATTACAATCACCCTCAACATCTTTGTTGTCAACTTTTACCGGAAAAACAAACTCTCCCTAGTCCCTCTCCTCTATAATATGATATCAGGGGCTGATATTCTGACTGCTGTTGGGATCATACACCAGTCCATAGCAATCTTACTGTTCACAAGAGATGTAATCAGTGAGGCAACTCTGGACTATAACACAGTGGTATGCTTCACTCTCATCCAAATAAGCTACAGATCGTCCGTATTCTACAACTTAGTGCTGGCTGTTTCCAGGACAGTAATGATCCTCAGACCCTTCCACCAGATCAAGATAAAGATGGTGATACTGGTCTGTGTTCTTTATGTTGTTCCGTGGATTGTCATTGCTGGACTTGATATATATCAGGTTTATATCGTGGAAAAAAGGTTCACTAAGGGTTTCTATGTTGAATACGTTGTTATGGGCTCCGGTTTAGCAACTATGGTTGCAGGTAGAAGTTTAACAAAATGGTACGGCACATTGGTGACGCTCCTGGTGATTGCTTTTCTAATACCAGTCGTTATTATCATTATTACGTGCATTCTGCAGGTCATATCTCTCCACAGATCGAGTCAGTTCCCAGCTAGCTCCAATCAACGTCACGTGACCATTACAGTAATCCTCTTGTCATCCCTATTTGTCATCTGTAACTCTGCTTTATACGGATATCTGTTTTCAATACTGTCAGGACTAACACTACCTGATCATGCAACCTTTACACTTTTCATAGCAGTGTTTGGGACAGTGCTGCCGATTCTAGGTTCAGCCCTGAATCCTGTTATCATCATCTCTAGAAGTGGGGGATTGAGAGAAAGGTTTCTGACCACAATGAGGAGAGTTCCGTTAAGTTTGAGGGGACAAATGTCAAACAGAGTCAGTGCTGCGACAGAACAAAGTGGAGGAACAGGATAGTTCGTACAGAGTACGAGTAGTAAGTGCTGAATAAACTGAAGTCCGCAGGGTCGGCTTCTTGAATACTGCCTATCTACAATAACTACATACATACTAATGAGTTCTTCATTATAATAAGAAAAATATGTATAGCAAGAAAAAAATTGTAATAGAAAATCATTAAAACAAAAATATTTATCTTTTACATAGACGTTTTCTTTATTAGTTTCAAATTTATTTTGTATAATGTTTTCGGCAGAAGTAGCGTAGTGATATATTATTTTAGCTTGAAATGAATATACTGAATAGTGAATAGCTTCTAGTTGTAAATAATTCTCTTTCTTTATCTTCTGTTTTTCTGTCTTAAGCCTAAGCATAAAATGTATTAAATTCCGATTAAAAATTACAGAAACCAATGAGCTATAGAAGCAGACAGAAATTAAACTTGAGTGTAGCGAATTATTTTAATCGAAGAATTTTAACTCTGCAATATGACCGCCAAAGATGGGGAGTTAATTTTTAGTAGAGAAAGTAGATTTTACTCTTCTAACTTGTTAAACTTATAACAAAGTTAGTCAGCATCTATTTCATAGTTTTGGTCACAAACATGCTTAATGGCAATCAGAATCGACAATTTCCTTACCTTCATATTGAACCGTCCTCTGTCGACAACATCTGATTGCTCGAGGGTCTTATGATCGAACATGTCACACATGTCAAGGTATGTCAGCCTCTGACATTGCGAAGGGATGCCACAGGCGTCCTCAACCTTCAGTTTCAGCTCCTTGATCGATGTGTTGAGAGGTATCTGACTGAAGGACAGGGTTTTTCCTGTCATCAACTTGACCGTGATGTCCACACTTTGCCAGGCTCTCCCTCTTCTGTACATAGTTGCCATGGTCCCATTCAACCCTATGGAGTAAAGAATTGTCATGGAATCTATAATTTCATTCCAATAAACGTACGTTATGCGCAACGACGTTTGGAACTTTATTCACCGCGCGTACGCATAAGTCATGCTTTTAAATTTTGAATTTTCTGCCAAATCAAACCCTTGGTAATTTCTCAGGTTGCCGACATTGAGACATTGCAATAATGAAAACGAATTGAATAAGATGACTGAAGTATGCAAAAAAACTTCTAGGATTTACTGTACAAAGATCGCTTGAATTTCATGTGGAACATTTTACATTTAATTGAAACAGCGGTGATTGTGATACCAATACAGATCTTCATAACAGACAATACTCAGTAGTACATTATCAAAAGTAAAACCATGACAATTGATCAGGTTTGCGTGTCATACATCACAAAAACTTTTATCTGAAATATTTTCATCCTTTCATGTCAAAATCTACGATTAACCTCAGAGAAATTAACGTGTCCTATATAGCCCGGAACACTCCTAATTTCTAGTTTCCTTTTAACAAATATAGCTGTAACCGCAGTCTCTAACTTTAACTTAAATCTATCAAAGTGTATATAGAATTATCTGGCAGCAGCTATAACTAAAGCTATGCAAGTAATTAACCTCCCTTAGATATATCTAGTAAATGTTTTAATGTGTGTGGGAAATAGCTTATCGTGTGTGTGTGTGTGTGTGTGTGTGTGTGTGTGTGTGTGTGTGTGTGTGTGTGTGTGTGTGTGTGTGTGTGTGTGTGTGTGTGTGTGTGTGTGTGTGTGTGTGTGTGTGTGTGTGTGTGTGTGTGTGTGTGTGTGTGTGTGTGTGTGTGTGTGTGTGTGTGTGTGTGTGTGTGTGTGTGTGTGTGTGTGTGTGTGTGTGTGTGTGTGTGTGTGTGTGTGTGTGTGTGTGTGTGTGTGTGTGTGTGTGTGTGTGTGTGTGTGTGTGTGTGTGTGTGTGTGTGTGTGTGTGTGTGTGTGTGTGTGTGTGTGTGTGTGTGTGTGTGTGTGTGTGTGTGTGTGTGTGTGTGTGTGTGTGTGTGTGTGTGTGTGTGTGTGTGTGTGTGTGTGTGTGTGTGTGTGTGTGTGTGTGTGTGTGTGTGTGTGTGTGTGTGTGTGTGTGTGTGTGTGTGTGTGTGTGTGTGTGTGTGTGTGTGTGTGTGTGTGTGTGTGTGTGTGTGTGTGTGTGTGTGTGTGTGTGTGTGTGTGTGTGTGTGTGTGTGTGTGTGTGCTTGCAATATTGAACAGACATAGTGCACACTGTCCATACAATATACCGTCCATATGATTACACAACATCCTATACAATCACCCTAAGTAAGTACACCGCAAGGGGCAGTGAGCTGTGCTCCGGTTACATTATAAAGTGACTAATAACTCTCTGTAATGGTTTACTAAAGTTAAAAGGTCCAGTGCCTGATACCCGGAAATGCCCTGGGTCCCTCTAAACAATAAACATAGGCTCACCAACCTTACTTTGTGCTATTACCCACTTACAAGGTAACTGGGTAACCTCCAGCCCTGCAAATCACTGGAATACAGTGCGCACTAAAATCCGACAGTCATTATTACTTATATGGTATGATGAGAGGGCCCAGCTTGTTGGGGGAGAGTAAAGGAATAAGGGGTAGCATGCACCTAGTGCAAACATAAAAATAACATGTATTATCTAGTGTAAACTGGGGGAGTAGTAACGCTCAACACACCTACAGTTTAACTCATTTTATTCACATGTTATTTGGATAAAATTATCTTCAAAAACAACACATACATAGTAATTGTACACCTTATTTAAGTGTACATAATAGATTTAAAATGGTTTGATCCAAAAGTTCAAAAAAAGATCACAGCTTTATAGCATTGGTCATATTATTATTATTATGATGATAAAAGCTTTTCATATCTTCTGAATATCTGAACATTAAATAACAAAGTATCATGAGACAACAAATCTTTAACAAACTGGCTGGTAACTACTAATTAGTAACTAGTAACTACTAATTAGCAACTAGTTACTGCTAGTTACTAACTAGATGAGCTACCTTTAATGTGCCACAAAAATCAGATCCAAAGAATTATCACGATGAGGCACAGACCAAATTTAGTCATGAGCCCAGAGCCAGTGGTGAGTGGTGTTACGATAGTTGGTGCTCCTGCTATGTGGATAAATACGACCACTTCAGCTATTCTTTGTTTTTATCATTTGTTTGTAAAATGTTAGCAGAGGAGAGAGTTACTACTTAGTAGTAGTTGATATCCCTTCTAGGATTAGAAATTTGTACGGAAACCCCAATTACATGTACCGTCTCCCCATAATTCATAGCGGAGACAGTCGTTACACCACTACTTTATCGTTACATCACTACTTTATGCCGACTCATTCTATCAACATACCACTCTTTGGGCAGTGCTACGATTATTTTAGATGTAGCGTACAGGTAGTAGAGACTAGCGTGAATATAGTGCAAATACTCTAACATACTTCTCATAAGGAATACCCTCACGTGACCCTCACCTGTCGTGACCCTCACGTGATTCCCTTGAAGTAAAATAGTCAACCTTCCATGGGAACACAGATATTCGCCTCGCTCAGCAAATTCAAGAATATCTACCTTATAGGAAGGTGAAGCAGGAGGAACTTGCCCTATTTAAAATATTAACACTAATAGTCCCCGTAATAACTACTCAGGGTAATCTTTCTCGTCAATCAGTTTGCTGGCGGAGATACCGTGTATAGTGACTTTACTGGGTCGCACCATGATACCGTACCCTTGTTTACTGAAACAAAACACGTGTTAGTGAATAGAGGGTGGTGATTGGCCAATAAGACAGGAAGAGATCATCTGGAATTTTCCAGGGCGGTTAAATGTTGGTTGCGCGTATGAAAACATGTGTAAAATATATAAACACTTGGAACTACTCTAATACCAGCTCACAGTGCAAGTTGAGGCTACTACATTATACTACTGCTTACTACTGCTACTAGTGCTTACTGTTCTTGTATTGTAATGAATATTATGTATGTGATACATGTGTAGGAGTACACACTAGGGTACACATGGAACAGTGTTATAATGTTAATCACAGATTACAGCGCACTTGTGGATTACAGATCACACACTTTCTACTACTTTACAAGCAGAGGAAATCTCGTCTCGGGTGGTTTTCACACTGTTATTGTTGTTATTCGCATTCCGATAAGTTAAAACTTTTAAATCATTTAATCCTGCGATAATAGTATGTTACACAAAACAAACTTGTAGATAGTACTAAAACCTGAGCATGTTAATAGAGAAAACTTACCAAGCGAAGTAGCGTTTCCCTTGGACAGTGCCATCATTCTTACCATCTGAAATATTGCAGTGTTAAAACACCCGACTAACAACTTAACCAGTTTTGACTATTGATGATGACATATAGAAATCTAAAAAGTGTTGGCATTATATCATGGTTCCTGACACGCTACTGTTGTCTGCGTTTAATAAACTCCCTGCTTAACAGGTCGCTCAGGGTACTAAGTATTGAGTAAGATATTTGAGTATGCAAGGTATTTATTATTTCTGCTAGGTCACAGGCTAACATTTACAAAGTACAGTTATTGTTTTATTCGACACCTGATAACCTGATTTTAAGATTACTTTCACCATGTTTGGGTGGTGTGAACATATTTTGAGTTGTGTAAATCCTTTATAAAGGTATGTGAAAACCTTTATGCGGGTTTTCTAGGAAAATATCAATAAACTTTTAGGGTTCACGGAATATATAATACGAATTTTCAAATATTGAACTACATTTTGTTAGCGAACTAACACACAACATCACAGATTATTATCTCATTTATCAGTGATCAACACCCGCA